AATTAGTAAACCTGCTCATTGTTGGATACAATAATTGCTATAATTAATCTGCAAGAATATACACTGTAATAATGAGAGTTTAGATGTCAGATTGGTAATACTAATACAACAGAAATTAACCGCCTGATTTAAAACAAGTGTGTCACTATTACGTTATAAAGTCGTATTTTTTCGTGCCCCTCCTCAACCAAATATGTGACCATTCTCACGACCTGGGTTAGTCAGTACGAAGTTGAAATTGAGAATGGCACTCTGTTACACCACTACCTTTAGGTGTGGGGAAGTTTTGGTTATTATCCAGTGTTTGAATTTATCAGCTGGTACATTGTTTAGAATATGTTTATTGACTTCCATTGGAGTACATTGATTAATACAATAACTCCACTGATTGGTTCCATCTCTATAAATCAGAATTTGTTCATCACTACTCCCACCTTCTCCAGATAGAGTATAATACACAAATATCTGGTTCACTGACTTTGTAGTGTTAGTTATCACCTGTACTGGTTCGTAGTGTGACAGGGTGTAGCTTCTGTTACTAACACACTGTATCCAACCTAGAAATATATTAAATATTATACATGGAACACTTGATTGATACGTGTTAATAACGTGCAATACTAGTAGTTACTAACTACGTAACTAGTAGTTATCTATTATAAGTTATTACGTTATGTTTACAGAAAAAAAGATTTTGTGAAAGTTTAAGTTTTAAAAAACCTTTATTAACCTATAACATATTATATCATTTACCTGATCCTATTTCCTCAGTTTGATTGCAATATCTTCACAATCCTCACCATCACTGTCTTGTACATCTTCATATTCATCAACTTCTAGCTCATCTGTAGAGCTACTGACTCTTCAGTATTTCTCCTTTTTTTTTTTTTTTAAATTAAATACTTTTCAAATTTTACAGAGTACAGCAATAAGATGACTATAAAAATAGAATCGTTCAAAATAATCGCCCCATCTGTAATATGATGGCCACCCAACACTGTAAACACAATTGAACAATGGTCCGCAGTAACTTGGACCCATTACATCGAATTAATCTAAATCCAAAAATTTATGAAAAACAATTTTAACAAACAAATCCATGTGAATAACTGTGGCTTATAGAGTCAAAATTGGTAATTCAATACTCAAATTCCAGATACATTAGATACAGGTCTGAAAATGGTCATTAATGTGTGAGAAGGAGTCGGGTGAAGTGTGATATGATGTTGAAAGTATAGGAAGGTAGATAAAAAATTAATAAAACAAAATAATTATAATATGGGGAGCAAAGAGACTAGTCTAGACTGTTGTTTCACTAACAATAAACATTATCCAATAGATGCTAGTGACCTCACTTTGAAAAGAACTAGTAGACACAATCTGTCTTACCTGTAAAGCTGTAAAGGAGTCATTCCACAGAATATGGGTTCTGTAGAAAAATGATTTTGCCAGTGGCTATATTGAGGTACATTTGGTTTGTGAATTCTGACTTAACTTAGTAAAATTGAATGAACAATAGACAGAACCTGTCTAGGTGGACTCTTAGTCGAGAAGTGCCCTGATATAAAAAGATAGGTGAGGCACGATACAGGAATTAAATTGTTAAGAACATTGTGGAAACAAATAAATCATTCAAGACCAACCCTTTTTTGAGACAAAGGGGAGAATGTCGACAGCTTGCCTTTTTGACATATTGCTCAGGTGATAAACTGCGACCCTCTTCCAGACAGAATCCATTAATACTCACTTTTGGAGACTTTCTAATTTATCATCACTAAGTGATTTATTACCGAAACGGACAGCATCTATCCCATGATTTTGCCCAAGAAAACGCTTTCATTCACCATTGGTGCGCTAAAGTTAACAAAAAGCATTCTAAAAGGTGACTGGCCAGCACCAAATGGTCAACTCATCAGATATGACCACACCTCATTCGCTCAAAATGGCAGAATTCACTTAAAAAATTGAGTCATACATTAATCCACCATCGGTTTCAATCTGACCATCGGGATTAGATCACAAGCGACTATCAAGCTGTCAATAAGGACCAACATCGACCGACCAAAGTAATCAAGTATGACTGGGAGGAGTTAAAAAAGTAACACTGCAACCTTCAACAGCCATCCAACTCCACTCCATAACAAGTTCACTGCCTCTAATGGATGAAGAGAACGAGACTGATGACCTCTTCAACACAACAGCATGGCATACACGCAACATGATAAGTGCTATTAATGATCACAGCAGAGAAAGGTAGCTTCCCAAAAGGAAGAAACTATCTACACTGCACAATTTCATCTAAACCAGAGTAACCGAGCTGCTGTCAAGGCACGAAGATGTGCGTTGAAAGATAGTCACAAAAGAAAGACACGAGTCGCTACTAAAGCCCACCGTGGATGCACCCTTGAAGCCAGGAGGATCGAAACCAGCAAACAAGAACGTTTTGTTAATCAGACAATTGTTCAAGTAGATCAGCTGTTTATTACTCAACCCGCAAAACCACCCGGGTATGCAGCAATGGCAGACGAAATCAAACAGCTCTCTGTTATGCGTGGTAATCTTTAAATGACCTTACCAATCGTAAGCCTAAACCTATGTCTCCATTACCTGGATATAGAAACAAGGCAGATCGAGCAAAGGCGATGGACTGACCACAACAGCCAACTGCTTTACACAACCTGCTGACAACAACAGCATGGTAGCTTTGAAGTACCAAAAGCCAGAACTACTGCCCAATTGAAACGTCACCTGTTCTCAGCAGAAGAACTATCTACGCTCTCAGCAGACAAAGGACACGTACTGTCATGACGGAATTCCCTTCTCTGCTGTACAAGTGTGTTGACTTGGACACTACTTTTACTATCTCTGTTCAAACAACATACTAGCTACTGGTAAAGCCCCGGAAAGCTCCTTGTCACTCGCCATTCTTCCTATACCCAAAGGAGCAAAAAAGTTCTGTCCCTTAAAATAGCAGAGGCATCTCCATCCTCCCTGTGCCACGAATATCTACAACATGCTGCTTCTAAACTCGAAATTCAGGAGCCACATAGAACTCGCCTCCGAACAACAGAATGGGTTTTCACGGCCTGGAAGAGGACTCGTGAAAATCAGATTCTGGCTCTTAGACGTATCAACGAAGAGGTTGTTAAATTCCAGCTTCCTTGGTCATCTCCTTTAATGACTTCTCAAAGGCCTTGACTGCACATCTTCAATCGCATCTTCCCGACATCCTGGCTTCCTACGGCTTTCCAAAAAAAATCATAAAGCCATTATGTCACTCTACATCAACACCAAGGCTAAAATCATGACCCCTGAAGGTATAACCTTAGAATCCTACCAACCTCGTAATTCTCCAGGCGATGTTCTTTGCACCTCTCATTTTTATCATCGTCCTGGATTTTCATACTAAGACCTAGCAATAGGGACACGTGATGGGTTTAAAGTGAAGTAACTACCATTGCAGAATTGGACTTTCGCCAGATGAACTAGAACAATTACTGACAGCTCAGCGAAAAATGGCCGCTTGCCAAAGCATTTCTGACATTAGCAGCCCGTTATGGTCTACCTCATTAACACCGAAAGACCAAATACATGTCCTATAACAACCCGCGACCTGACCACTCAGACGATCGAGTCTTTATTAACGGCAACCCCCTTAGAAGAAATTCATGACTTTAAGTACCATGGACCTTTAATAGCCTCAACAAGCAGAGACATCAAAGTCATGAAAGGCTCGCAAGAAAAGCATTTACAGAGAGCATCCCTGAGATGCTTTTTGGGAAATCTAATATTCCAGGAAGATCAAGACTAAGATTTTTATCGAACTGCAGTAGAACCTGTTACTGCTGTAATGGTGCGAAACCTGGACTCTTAAAAAGGCTGATATCAGAGCACTAGACGTGTTTAAACTAGAATGCTGACGAAGGTCTTTTGGTATCTCATGGAAATCAGCATACACCTAACTCCGTTCTTTACGAAAGATTCCATTCGGTGACGAGATACATATAAAACACGAAGACTTCGGTTTTGCAGGACATGTCCTACCGTCTACATTACAGACCTGCTCAACAACACCGTTTTCTGGCAACCATCCTATGGCCAGCGTTATCGAGGACGACCACATTCAGACCTTCCCGGACGTCCTACTTGAAGACACTGGATGGAACCTGACAACTGCGTTACCTCATTGTGATAGGGATAAATGGAGAGAAGCGTGACACAAACCTCGTTCCAGATTTCATCTGGATCGAACCCTATGCAGGTAGGCAGGATTATTCCAAAGGGCGCCAGATTAATGGAACAATTTTCGAATTGGCTACGAACCAGGAGAGTAAAGTGCCCGGCGACGGCACCAGAATTACAGCGCTTCAACAAAAACAGTCGACTGCTGGTTTGTGAAAACGTCCATATCTAGCGTGGACTGAAATTGTACAGGATATTAATATATTTTACAGTTCATAACCGGACATCAAATCAAATTGTAAAATTTACCAAATAATCTTGTAAGCATTGAAAAGTAGCGAATTTCACTATATAAACAGTCTCCAATATTTACTGAAACATGGGTGCGAGGTTCTCAATAACAGTAACTGTAGTAGGAACATGAACATGGAATTAGTTTCTGATCATTTGTCCATCTCTCAACTTCAGAAGTCAGATTTCCGTGTACAGGAGAGTTGGATGAGTTCTACACACCAAAGTTGCAGGTACTTTTATTATTGGGCCATATAGTCTGAAACTAAGATCGAAATTGTAAATATAATATAAGGTTTGAGAAATATATTAATAATGGGGGAGGAAGTTCTAATTTATCACAGTTTAAAAAATTTTTTAAACATTATATTGTGGGAGGAAGTTCTAATTTATCACAGATTTTGCGGAAAGGAAAAAGTTGTGGTAAATGGGAATACGCAGCAAATCGAGCATGGTAAATTGGGTCTTACTGTATCTTTGTGCATCAAAAATTAATGCGCAGAAAACTTAACATTGAAACAAGAAAATATAAAAAGTTCAATAAATTAATTTGCTCCACAATTTAACTTACACATCACAGTATCTAAATAAGATCAAAGTTGGAACTAAAATCAAAACCAATCTCTATAATATAATGTTCTAAAAGGACATGAAGCGTTTTAATAATGTCACTGGAACTGAGCAGCTGTTACCACAATATAAAACTACAAACAATAACACTCCTCAGAAAAGAGCATGATAAGATGATCTCAGTAATCAGGGTATAATTACCACTCTTACATTCTCCCTGTGTCTACTGTTAATCTTAAGAGACACCTCATGTTCACCACTCTTAGACAGAGTCTCACTCAACAACACATGTTTCTCTGATGGTACAAACAGGTTCACTCCTCAAATACTCTATCCTGTTAGTGCACTGAGTAATATAATAACTATCTAAAACTATAAAAACAGAATGGGTGCCAGTTCCTTAATTAATTGTAAGTAAATCAGTAAAACTTAAATAGAGAAAGATAATTGTTTACGTTAAATGAAAATGTTAAAGTTTCAGAACAAGCCAGCTATAAGGTTGGATACAGTGTTATATTAAGCGTATTTAAAATACGATATTAATGATGTATTTATTGTTTAAAACAAACACAGCCTGAGCCTATTAATTTAATACTGAATTTTATAAGAAGGTTAATGAGTTCCTAACTAAATTATGTGTAATAATAAGTATACGCTGCTCAGTTGTTGGATACAATAATGCTATAATTAATCTGAAAGAATATTCACTGTAATAATGAGAGTTTAGATGTCAGATTGGTATTACTAATACACAGAAATTAACCGCCTGTATTTAAAACAAGTAAATCACTATCACGATATTGAACAAGTCTTATATTTGTTCACCTTTTCAACCAAATCTGGTGATTATTTTTAGAACCTGTTGTGTAGTCAGTAGCAAAGTTGAAATTGAGAACTGTCACTCTGTTACACGCTACCTTTAGGTGTGTAGAAGTTTTGGTTATTATCCAGTGTTTGAGTTTATTAGCTGGTACATTGTTTAGAAACTGTTTATTGACACTGAGTGGAGTACATCCTACAATATAATAACTCCACTGATTGGTTGTAACATCTTTATAAATCAGAATAAGTTGTTCACTACTCCCATCTTCCCCAGGTAGAGTATAATACACATGAATCTGGTTATATGACTGTTTATTGTTAGTTATCATCTGTACTGGTTCGTAGTGTGACAGGGTGTAGCTTGTGTTACTAACACACTGTATCCAACCTAGAAATATATTAAATATTATACATGGAACACTTGATTGATACCTGTTAATAACGTGTCAATACTAGTATTTACTACTTAACTATTAGTTACTAGCAGTTATTACGTATGTTTAAGGATAAAGAACTCTGAAAGTTTCAATTGTAAAAATATCTTAATTAACCTATTACATGTAATATCATTTACCTGATTCTATTTCCTCAGTTTGATTAGCAATATCTTTACAATCCTCACCATCACTGTCTTGTACATCTTCAGTATTTTCATCAACTTTTAGCTCTTCTTTAGAGCTACTTGACTTTTCAGTTTTTATCTTTTTATTTTTAACAAACTTCTCTACAACCGCTTTCATTTCAGCACATTCAGAATCTTCAGATAAAGCAGCAAGGAAGTCAGTTAACTCATTCAATTCAGATGGGAAAGTACGTCTAATCTTCTGGACATCAAGCTTTTGTAGCATGTACAGAGAATTATCATCCAATTGTTTACAATTCAAGGTTAAGGAAACATAGGATATAAGGCAATTGCTGATCATGTTCAGATCGTTAGCAGCAATAGCTAAGGACATGTCAATACGACGTTTGGGTAGCTCAGAAAATCCAGCCATATATCTCTGTAAAAAGATAAATCTACCGTTACCACTGAAAGTAACATTACTCACAAAGCAGCTGACATATCTGCTGTCTTTCAAATTGTAATGCGCCCTGCTAGCAATCTCGCAAGCAAATAACATCTCTTCGTACGAGTTGTTCTCAAACTTCAGTACTTCTGCTTTGTAAAACTTCAGGCATCTCTTAGTCAACCAGGACACATCGAATACATGTGCCATTTTGTTTACTTCTTCAAAGATGTCTTTTTCCAGTTTATCGACTTCACCAGAGTACAGCGCTTCAACAAAACAGTCGACTGCTGGTTTTGTGAAATCGTCCATTTCCAGCGTGGACTGAAATTGTACAGGATATTAATATATTTTACAGTTTATAACCAGACATGATTTAGAATCGAATTGTCAAATTTACCAAATAATCTTGCAAGCATTGAAAAGTAGCTAATTTCACTATATATAAACAGTCTCAGATCTTTTACCTGAAACAGGTTGGTGGTGAGCTTGTCAATAACAGGACTGTTATAGGACATGATCATGGAATTGGTTTTAATCTCTTGTCCATCTCTCAGCTTCAGAAGCAGATTTCCGTGTACAGGAGAGTTGATGTGTTCTACACCAAAGTTGGCAGGTACTTTAATTTTTGGAGCCATATAGCTGAAAACTAAGATTGAAATTGTAAATATAATATAAGGTTTGAGAAATATATTAGTATTGGGGGAGGAAGTTCTAATTTATCACAGATTTTGCGGAAAGAAAACAACTGTGGTAAATGAGAATTCGCGGCAAATCGGGCATGGTAAATTGGGGTTAAATTACTGTATCTTTGCGCATCATTTTTATTTTAAAGATGAATGGATCGACAATGTCGAAAAATTTCGTATGTGTTTCTGTATCAATACAAGGAAGTCGAGTAAGCAAAACTTAACATTAAAACAAGAAAATATAAAAAGTTCAATAAATTAATTTGCTCCACAATTTAACTTACACATCACAGTATCTAAATAAGATCAAAGTTGGTACTAAAATCAAAACCAATCTCTATAATATAATGTTCTAAAAGGACATGAAGCGTTTTAATAATGTCACTGGAACTGAGCAGCTGTTACCACAATATAAAACTACAAACAATAACACTCCTCAGAAAAGAGCATGATAAGATGATCTCAGTAATCAGGGTATAATTACCACTCTTACATTCTCCCTGTGTCTACTGTTAATCTTAAGAGACACCTCATGTTCACCACTCTTAGACAGAGTCTCACTCAACAACACATGTTTCTCTGATGGTACAAACAGGTTCACTCCTCAAATACTCTATCCTGTTAGTGCACTGAGTAATATAATAACTATCTAAAACTATAAAAACAGAATGGGTGCCAGTTCCTTAATTAATGGTAAGTAAATCAGTAAAACTTAAATAGAGAAAGATAATTGTTTACGTTAAATGAAAATGTTAAAGTTTCAGAACAAGCCAGCTATAAGGTTGGATACAGTGTTATATTAAGCGTATTTAAAATACGATATTAATGATGTATTTATTGTTTAAAACAAACACAGCCTGAGCCTATTAATTTAATACAGAATTTTATAAGAAGGTTAATGAGTTCCTAACTAAATTATGTGTAATAATAAGTATACGCTGCTCAGTTGTTGGATACAATAATGCTATAATTAATCTGAAAGAATATTCACTGTAATAATGAGAGTTTAGATGTCAGATTGGTATTACTAATACACAGAAATTAACCGCCTGTATTTAAAACAAGTGTGTCACCATGATATTTAAGGAGTCGTATTTTCGTGCACCTTTTCAACCAAACCTGGTGACTATTCTCAGAACCTGGTTTGTAGTCAGTAGCAAAGTTGAAATTGAGAACTGTCACTCTGTTACACACTACCTTTAGGTGTGTAGAAGTTTTGGTTATTATCCAGTGTTTGAGTTTATCAGCTGGTACATTGTTTAGAAACTGTTATTGACACTCCCTGGAGTACATTCCACAATTAAATAACTCCACTGATTGGTTGTATCATCTCTATAAATCAGAATATGTCGTTCACTACTCCCACCTTCTCCAGATAGAGTATAATACACACGCATACTGTTCACTGACTCTGTAGTGTTAGTTATCATCTGTACTGGTTCGTGGTGTGACAGGGTGTACCATGTACTCTTAACACACTGTATCCAACCTAGAAATATATTAAATATTATACATGGAACACTTGATTGATACGTGTTAATAACGTGTCAATACTAGTAGTTACTACGTAACTAGTAGTTACTATTAGTAGTTATAACGTTTGTTTAAGAATAAAGAATTCTGAAAGTTTAAGTTTATAAAATACCTTTAATTAACCTATTACATATTATATCATTTACCTGATTCTATTTCCTCAGTTTGATTAGAAATATCTTTACAATCCTCACCATCACTGTCTTGTACATCTTCAGTATTTCCATCAACTTCTAGCTCTTCTTTAGAGCTACTTGACCCTTCAGTATTTCTCCCTTTAACAAAATTCTCTACAACTGCTTTCACTTCAGCACATTTAGAATTTTCAGTTGCAGCGGCAAGGAATTCAGATAGTTCATTCAATTCAGATGGAAAAGTACGGCTAAACTTCTGGACATCCAGCTTTTGTAGCATGTACAGAGAATTCTCATCAAATCCCTTGCATTTCAAGGTTAAAGGAAATATAGGTTATTAGACAATTGCTTATGATGTTCAAGTTATTAGCAGCAATAGCGAGGGACATGTCAATCCGACGTTTGGGTAGCTCAGAAAAACCAGCCATATATCTCTGTAAGAAGATAAATTTACCGTTACCACTGAAAGTAACATTCTTCACAAAGCAGCTGACATATCTGCTGTCTTTCAGATTATAATGCGCCCTGCTAGCAATCTCACAAGCAAATAACATTTCTTTGTACGAGTTGTTCTCAAACTTCAGTACTTCTGCTTTGTAAAACTTCAGACATCTCTTAGTCAACCAGGACACATCGAATACATGTGCCATTTTGTTTACTTCTTCAAAGATGTCTTTTCTAGTTTATCAACTTCACCAGAGTACAGCGCTTCAACAAAACAGTCGACTGCTGGTTTTGTGAAATCGTCCATTTCTAGCGTGGACTGAAATTGAACAGGATATTAATTTATTTTACATAAAATCCGAACATTATTTAGAATCGAATCGTCAAATTTACCAAATAATCTTGTAAGCATTGAAAAGTATCAAATTTCACTATATTAACAGTATTAAATATTTTACCTGAAACAGGTTGGTGGTGAGCTTGTCAATAACAGGACTGTTATAGGACATGATCATGGAATTAGTTTTAATCTCTTGTCCATCTCTCAGCTTAAGAAGCAGATTTCCGTGTACAGGAGAGTTGATGTGCTCTACACCAAAGTTGGCAGGTACTTTAATTTTTGGAGCCATATAGCTGAAAACTAAGATTGAAGTTGTAAATATAATATAAGGTTTTAGTAATATATTGATATTGTGGGAGGAAGTCCAAATTTACCACCGATTTTGCGGAAAGGAAAAAGTTGTGGTAAATGAGAATAGGCAGCAAATCGAGCATGGTAAATTGGGTCTTACTGCACATCATATTTATTTATTTTTAAATGATGCGCAGAAAAAACATTCTTGTGTTTTTGTATCAATAGAATGTGGTCGAGTAAGCAAAACTTTACATTGAAACAAGAAAATATAAAAAGTTCAATAAATTAATTTGCTCCACAATTTAACTTACACATCACAGTATCTAAATAAGATCAAAGTTGTAACTAAAATCAAAACCAATCTCTATAATATAATGATCTGAAAGGACATGAAGCGTTTTAATAATGTCACTGGAACTGAGCAGCTGTTACCACAATATAAAAAATCCAAAAAAATATGATGTGTAAGTTAAATTGTGGAGCAAATTAATTTATTGAACTTTTTATATTTTCTTGTTTTAATGTTAAGTTTTGCTTACTCGACTTTCTTGTATTGATACAGAAGCACATACAACATTTTTCGATATTGTCGATCCATTCATCTTTAAAATAAAAATGATGCGAAAAGATACAGTAATTTAACCACAATTTACCATGTAAAGTAATGCCCGATTTGCCGCGAATACTCATTTACCACAGTTCTTTTCTTTCTGCAAACTATGTGGGAAATTAGAACTTCCTCCCCCAATACTAATATATTTCTCAAACCTTATATTATATTTACAATTTCAATCTTAGTTTTTAGCTATATATGGCTCCAAAAATTAAAGTACCTGCCAACTTTGGTGTAGAACACATCAACTCTCCTGTACACGGAAATCTGCTTCTGAAGCTGAGAGATGGACAAGAGATCAGAACTAATTCCATGATCATGTCCTATAACAGTCCTGTTATTGACAAGCTCACCACCAACCTGTTTCAGGTAAAAGATTTGAGACTGTTCATTACATAGTGAAATTAGCTAATTTTAAATGCTTACAAGATTATTTGGTAAATTTGACAATTCGATTCTAAATCATGTCTGGTTATGAACTGTAAAATATATTAATATCCTGTACAATTTCAGTCCACGCTAGAAATGGACGATTTCACAAAACCAGCAGTCGACTGTTTTGTTGAAGCGCTGTACTCTGGTGAAGTTGATAAACTAGAAAAAGACAACTTTGAAGAAGTTAACAAAATGGCACATGTATTTGATGTGTCCTGGTTGACTAAGAGATGTCTAAAGTTTTATAAAGCAGAGGTACTGAAGTTTGAGAATAACTCGTACAAAGAAATGTTATTTGCTTGTGAGATTGCTAGCAGGGCGCATTATAATCTGAAAGACAGCAGATATGTCAGCTGCTTTGTGAAGAATGTTACTTTTAGTGGTAATGGTAAATTTATCTTCTTACAGAGATATATGGCTGGCTTTTCTGCGCTACCCAAACGTCGAATTGATATGTCCCTCGCTATTGCTGCCAATGATCTGAACATGATCAGTAACTTCCTTACTACCTATGTTTCCTTAACCTTGAAATGCGAGGGATTAGATGAGAATTCTCTATACATGCTTCAAAAGCTGGATGTCCAGAAGTTTAGCCGTACATTTCCTTCTGAATTAAATGAGTTAACTGACTTCCTTACCGCTATAACTGAAGATTCTGAATGTGCTGAAATGAAAGGGGTGGTAGATAATTTTGTTCAAGGGAGAAATACTGAAGAGTCTAGTAGCTCTAAAGAAGAGCTAGAAGTTGATGAAAATACTGAAGATGTACAAGACAGTGATGGTGAGGATTGTAAAGATGTTGCTAATCAAACTGAGGAAAGAGAATCAGGTAACTGATATAATAATATGATAGGTTAAATAAGGTATTTTTACAATTTAAACTCTCAGAATTCTTTATTCTTAAACAAACGTAATAACTACTAGTAGTAACTAATAGTTACGTAGTAAATACTAGTATTGACACTTTATTAACAGGTATCAATCAAGTGTTCCATATACAATATTTAATATATCTCTAGGTTGGATACAGTGTGTTAGTAACACAAGTTACACCCTGTCACACTACGAACCAGTACAGATGATAACTAACACTACAGAGTCAGAGAACAGTATGCGTGTGTATTACACTCTATCTGGAGAAGGTGGGAGTAGTGAGCAATATATTCAGATGTATAGAGATGTTACAACCAATCAGTGGAGTTATTATATTGGGGGATGTACTCCAGGGAGTGTCAATGCACAGTTTCTAAACAATGTACCAGCTGATAAACGGAAACACTGGATAATAACCAAAACTTCTACACACCTAAAGGTAGTGTGTAACAAAGTGACAGTTCTCAATTTCAACTTCGCTACTGACTACACACCAGGTCGTGAGAATGGTCACCATATTTGGTTGAGGAGGTGCACGAAAATACGACTTTATAACTGTAATAGTGACACACTTGTTTTAAATACAGGCGGTTAGTTTATGTAAATTAGTAATACCAATCTGACATCTAAACTCTCATAATTACAGTGAATATTCTTTCAGAATGATTATAACATTATTGTATCCAACAACTGAGCAGTGTATACTTATTATTACACATAATTTAGTTAGGAACTCATTAACCCTCTTATAAAATTCTGTATTAAATTAATAGGCTCAGGCTGTGTTTGTTTTAAACAATAAATACATCATTAATATCGTATTTTAAATATGCTTAATATAACACTGTATCCAACCTTATAGCTGGCTTGTTTTGAAACTTTAACATTTTAATTAAAGTAAATAATTATCTTTCTCTATTTAAGTTTTACTGATTTACTTACGATTAATAAATGAACTGGCACCCATTATGTTTTTATATTTTTAGATAGTTATTATATTACTCAGTGCACTAACAGGATAGAGTATTTGAGGAGTGAACCTGTTTGTACCATCAGAGAAACATGTGTTGTTGAGTGAGACTCTGTCTAAGAGTGGTGAACATGAGGTGTCTCTTAAGATTAACAGTAGACACAGGGAGAATGTAAGAGTGGTAATTATACCCTGATTACTGAGATCATCTTATCATGCTCTTTTCTGAGGAGTGTTATTGTTTGTAGTTTTATATTGTGGTAACAGCTGCTCAGTTCCAGTGACATTATTAAAACGCTTCATGTCCTTTCACAACATTATATTATAGAGATTGGTTTTGATTTAGTACCAACTTTGTTCTTATTTAAATACTGTGATGTGTGATGTGTAAGTTAAATTGCGGAGCAAATTACTTTATTGAACTTTTTATACTAATTTCTTATTTCAATGTTAAGTTTTGCTTACTCGACTTCCTTGTATTGAAAGAGAAACACATAAGTAATTTTTTCGACATTGTGGATCCATTCAACTTCAAAAATAAGAATGATGCGCAAACATAAAATAATTTAACAACAATTTACCCTGCTTGATTTGCCGCAAATTCTCATTTACAATAGTTGTTTTCTTTCTGCTAAATCTGTGGTAAATTACAACTTCATCCCCTAATACTAATATATTTCTCAAACCTTAATATATTATATTTACAATTTCAATCTTAGTTTCCAGCTATATGGCTCCAAAAATTAAAGTACCTGCCAACTTTGGTGTAGAGCACATCAACTCTCCTGTACACGGAAATCTGCTTCTGAAGCTGAAAGATGGACAAGAGATTAAAACCAATTCCATGATCATGTCCTATAACAGTCCTGTTATTGAGAACCTCGCCACCAACCTGTTTCAGGTAAAAGATTGGAGACTGTTCATATAGTGAATTTCGATACTTTTCAATGCTTACAAGATTATTTGGTAAATTTAACAATTAGATTCTAAACCATCATAATATCCGGTTTTTATGTGAAATTTCCCAAATTTATTATTATCCTATACAATTTCAGTCCACGCTAGAAATGGATGATTTCACAAAACCAGCAGTCGACTGTTTTGTTGAAGCGCTGTACTCTGGTGAAGTTGATAAACTAGAGAAGGGCATCTTTGAAGAAATAAACAAAATGGCACATGTATTCGATGTGTCCTGGTTGACTAAGAGATGTCTAAAGTTTTATAAAGCAGAAGTACTGAAGTTTGAGAACAAATCGTACGAAGAGATGCTATTTGCTTGTGAGATTGCTAGCAGGGCGCATTACAATCTGAAAGACAGCAGATACGTGAGCTGCTTTGTAAAGAATGTTACTTTCGGTGAAAATAGAAAATTTGTCTTCTTACAGAAATACATGGCTGGATTTGCTGAGCTACCCAAACGTCGGATTGACATGTCCCTCGCTATTGCTGCAAATGATTTAAACATCATAGGCAATTGTCTTATATCCTACATTTCTTTAGCCCTAAAATGCAAAGACTTAGATGAGAATTCTCTGTACATTCTGAAAAAGCTGGATATCGAGAAGTTTGGTAGTACCTTTCCCTCTGAATTGAATGACTTAAGCGAAGTCCTTGCCGCTGCAACTGAAAATTCTAAATGTGCTGAAGTGAAAGCAGTTGTAGAGAATTTTGTTAAAGGGAGAAATACTGAAGGGTCAAGTAGCTCTAAAGAAGAGCTAGAAGTTGATGGAAATACTGAAGATGTACAAGACAGTGATGGTGAGGATTGTAAAGATATTGCTAATCAAACTGAGGAAATAGAATCAGGTAAATGATGTAACATGTAAAAGGTTAATTAAAGGTATTTTACAATTTAAACTTTCACAATTCTTTATTCTTAAACAAACGTAATAACTACTAGTAATAACTACTAGTTACGTAGTAACTACTAGTATTGACACGTTATTTACTCGTATCAATCAAGTGTTCCATATATAATAATGTTTAATCTATTTCTAGGTTGGATACAGTGTGTAAATAAAGAATACTACACCCTGTCACACTACGAACCAGTACAGATGATAACTAACACTACAGAGTCAGAGAACTATATTTTTGTGTATTATACTCTATCTGGAGAAGGTGGGAGTAGTGATAATTATATTGGGATCTATAGAGAAGCTAAAACCAATCAGTGGAGTTATTGTATGGAGGGATGTACTCCAGACAGTTTCAATAGACAGTTTCTAAACAATGTACCAGCTGATAAACTCAAACACTGGATAATAACCAAAACTTCTACACACCTAAAGGTAGTGTGTAACAGAGTGACAGTTCTCAATTTCAACTTTGCTACTGACTACACACCAGGTCGTGAGAATAGTCACCAGGTGTGGTTGAAAAGGTGCACGAATATACGTTTTTATAATGGTTATGGTGACTTACTTGTTTTAAATACAGGCGGTTAATTTCTGTGTATTAGTATTACCAATCTGACTTCTAAACTCTCATTATTACATTGAATATTCTTTCAGATTAATTATAGCATTATTGTATCCAACAACTGAGCAGCGTATACTTATTATTACACATAATTTAGTTAGGAACTCATTAACCTTCTTATAAAATTCTGTATTAAATTAATAGTCTCAGGCTGTGTTTGTTTTAAACAATAAATACATCATTAATATCGTATTTTAAATACGCTTAATATAACACTGTATCCAACCTTATAGCTCGCTTGTTCTGAAACTTTAACATTTTCATATAAGGTAAACAATTATCTTTCTCCGTTTGAGTTTTACTGATTTACTTACAATTAATAAAGGAACTGGTACTCATTCTGTTTTTATAGTTTTAGATAGTTATTATATTACTCAGTGCACTAACAGGATAGAGTATTTGAGGAGTGAACCTGTTTGTTCCATCAGAGAAACATGTGTTGTTGAGTGAGACTCTGTCTAAGAGTGGTGAACATGAGGTGTCTCTTAAGATTAACAGTAGACACAGGGAGAATGTAAGAGTGGTAATTATACCCTGATTACTGAGATCATCTTATCATGCTCTTTTCTGAGGAGTGTTATTGTTTGTAGTTTTATATTGTGGTAACAGCTGCTCAGTTCCAGTGACATTATTAAAACGCTTCATGTCCTTTCAGAACATTATATTATAGAGATTGGTTTTGATTTTAGTACCAACTTTGATCTTATTTAGATACTGTGATGTGTGAGTTAAATTGTAGAGCACTGAACTTTTTATAGTGTGGATCCATTCATCTTCAAAAATAAAAATGATGCGCAAAGATACAATAATTTAACACAAATTTACCATGCCCGATTTGCCGCAAATTCTCATTTACCATGTTTGTTTTCTTTCCGCAAAATCGGTGGTAAATTAGAACTTCCTCCCCCAATACTAATATATTGCTCCAAGCTTATATAAAGATATAATATTTACAATTTCAATCTAAGTTTTCAGCTAAATGGCTCCAAAAATTAAAGTACCTGCCAACTTTGGTGTAGAACACATCAACTCTCCTACCTCAACACTACACTCAGCAAAAACAGACAAGATTACAGAACTGCAGTTCACCTCATCACGGGTCACTGCGGCTTGAACAAACACCTTCACACCATTTGCAAATCAAACACCAGTGCTTGTCCTATGTGCGGCGACGGAGAGGAAACTGTCTCACACTTCCTTGGACAGTGTCCAGCTATTGCCCAAATTAGAGGTCAATATTTCCAGGACTACTACCTCTCTGTCAATGACATATTCGACAACCAACACATCACCACAATTGTCAATTTCGCAAACCGCACCAAACGCTTAATTGTGCCGGAAGAGCTGGATCAGACCGGGGTGACTTAAAGTATTAGCTCATATGCTGTCTCGTCTCGTTTTACTTTTCCAAACCCAGCTGGCATTTAAGCGTATCATTTTGACTCATATATCATCTTACACCATCCTCCACCAATCACTCTGATTTCACCGGCAACCTTCCCCAAGGTTGCCACACCCCAGAGGTAGGCAGAGCATCTCAACGCTATCCTCTCGTGGGCTATCTTGGCCCAGCCTCTCTTTTAAAAAAAAAAAAAAAAAAAAAAAAAAAAAAAAAAAACATCAACTCTCCTGTACACGGAAATCTGCTTCTTAAACTGAGAGATGGACAAGAGATCAGAACTAATTGCATGATCATGTCCTATAACAGTCCTGTTATTGACAAGCTCACCACCAACCTGTTTCAGGTAACAGATTTAATACTGTTTATATAATATAATAGCTTAATAGTGAAATTCGCTACTGTTGAATGCTTACAAGGTTATTTGCTAAATTTGACAATTCGATTCTAAATTACATATGTCCGGTTATGAACTGTAAAATATATTAATATCCTGTCCAATTTCAGTCCACGCTGGAAATGGACGATTTCACAAAACCAGCAGTCGACTGCTTTGTCGAAGCGCTGTACTCTGGTGAAGTTGATAAACTGGAGAAAGACATCTTTGAAGAAGTAAACAAGATGGCACATGTATTCGATGTGTCCTGGTTGACTAAGAGGTGCCTGAAGTTTTACAAAGCAGAAGTACTGAAGTTTGAGAACAACTCGTACGAAGAGATGTTATTTGCTTGTGAGATTGCTAGCAGGGCGCATTATAATTTGAAAGACAGCAGATATGTCAGCTGCTTTGTGAAGGATGTTACTTTTTTTGGAAACGGTAAATTTTTCTTCTTACAGAGATACTTGGCTGGATTTGCTGACCTACCCAAACGTCGGATTGACATGTCCTTAGCTATTGCTGCTAATGATTTGAACATTATCGGCATTTTTGCATCAACCTATGTTTCCTTAACCTTGAATTGCAAAGGATTGGATGAGAATTTTCAATACATGCTACAAAAGCTGGATGTCCAGAAGTTTAGCCGTACTTTTCCATCTGAATTGAATGAGTTAACGGACTTCCTTGCCGCTATAACTGAAGATTCAGAATGTGCTGAAATGAAAGCGGTTGTAGATAATTTTGTTAAAGTGAGAAATACTGAAGAGTCAAGTAGCTCTAAAGAAGAGCTAGAAGTTGATGAAAATACTGAAGATGTGCAAGACAGTGATGGTGAGGATTGTAATGATGTTGCTAATCAAACTGAGGAAATAGAATCCGGTAATTGATTTAATATGTAATAGGTTAATTAAGTTATTTTTACAGTTTAGACTTTCACAATGCTTTATTCTTTAATAATGTAGTTACCTTAGTCGGTAATATCGGCCATGGGGTGTCTAATTTGATTCTTTTCGGGTCATAATTATAACAGTCCATATTTTTACCCCCCAAGTGGTTATAATTGCGAAAAAAATTTGATCAATATTTTCGATTTGAGATTTTTTCAAGAAAGGAAAGTCGCAGTTAAAATTGTGGGGCCAAAGAACCATATTTATAACAGTATATATTTTTAACACCCATAATTGTATAATTCCCCCCCCCCCCCCCCCCCCCCCCCCGGCCCCCTCTTCATAATATTACCGACTAACCTTTTTAGTAGTCACACCTTTTACACCTATCGATCAATTGTTCTATACAAAATAATATAACATAATTGACTTATTTCTAGGTTGGATACATAACAGTTGCAGTGTGTTAAGAAAGAATCTTACACCCTGTCACACTACCAACCATTACAGATGATAACTAACACTACAGAGTCAGATAACTATATTGGTGTGTATTATACTCTATCTGGAGAAGGTGGGAGTAGTGAGGAACATATTCTGATTTATAGAGATGCTGAAACCAATCAGTGGAGTTATATAATTGTGGGATGTACTCCATACAGTGTCAATACACAGTTTCTAAACAATGTACCAGCTGATAAACTCAAACACTGGATAATTACCAAAACTTCTACACACCTAAAGGTAGTGTGTAACAGAGTGACAGTTCTCAATTTCAACTTTGCTACTGACTACAAACCAGTTTCTGGGAAAAATTACCAGATTTGGTTGAAAAGCTGCACGAAAATACGACTTATTAAATATGATGGTGACACACTTGTTTTAAACACTGTCGGTTAATTTATGTAAATTAGTAATACCAATCTGACATCTAAACTCTCATTATTACATTGAATATTCTTTCAGATTAATTATAGCATTATTGTATCCGACAACTGAGCAGCGTATACTTATAATTACACATAATTTAGTTAGGAACTCATTAACCTTCTTATAAAATTCAGTATTAAATTAATAATCTCAGGCTGTGTTTGTTTTAAACAATAAATACATCATAATTAATATCGTATTTTAAATACACTTAATATAACACTGTATCGAACCTTATAGCTGGCTGGTTCTGAAACTTCGACATTTTAATTTAACGTAAACAAAATCGTTCTCGATTTAAATTTTACTGATTTACTCACCATTAATTAAGGAACTGGCTACCATTTGTTTACAGTTTTTATAGTTATCATACTAGTTTAGTACTTATATTATAAAATTAGACCATCAGTATTTCGGGGCCTCGACCAATATTGTTCTCCTGGTTCTTCCTAGCCACCACTACTACTAGTAGACGAAGTCCCAAAATCTATCTACTGGATAAGTTATATCACCTACAATGATTCAAGAGTCCGCAGCAATGTGGTGGAGTATTGAAGTACGAGTCTAAGAACCCCCGACTGGAGTACTACCCCCCACGGGATATCCCACCTATCATCCCACCAGGAACTCTGATGTGGTGGAGTATTGATGATGTGTTCGAGCGTGTTATCAACCCTGGGTATGCTCTGTTCGCTACTACAGAGAATGTCAGCGCGTACAGTGAGGTTGATGCTGACAGCGGTGGGGTTGAGGCTGACGATGGGGTGGAGGACGAACATTTCTACAACGATCCTGTGCTCAGGGAACTTTTACAGAGATCTAAGTTTGAAGCGAAGGGTCCGGTAACAAAACAGGATATTTTAGAGTATTTGAGGAGTGAACTGAACCTTTTTGTACCATCAGAGAAACATGTGTTGTTGAGTGAGACTCTGTCTAAGAGTGGTGAACATGAGGTGTCTCTTAAGATTAACAGTAGACACAGGGAGAATGTAAGAGTGGTAATTATACCCTGATTACTAAGATCATCTTATCATGCTCTTTTCTGAGGAGTGTTATTAAATTGTTTGTAGTTAAGTTTTATATTCTAATAATATAATATATACCGGTAACAGATGTGACCATATTTAAACAGCAGTGACTATATTAAAACAGCAGTAACCATATTGAAACGCTTCATGTCCTTTCAGAACATCACATTATTATAGAGATTGGTTTTGATTTTAGTACCAACTTTGATCTTATTTGGATACTGTGATGTGTAAGTTAAATTATGGAGCAAATTAATTTATTGCACTTTTTATATTTTCTTTTTTGAATGTTAAGTTTTGCTTACTCGACCTCCTTGTATTGATACAGAAACGCATACGAAATTTTTAGACATTGTCGATCCATTCATCTTAAAAATAAAAATGATGCGAAAAGATACAGTAATTTAACCCCAATTTACCATGCCTGACTTGCCGCAAATTCTCATTTACCACAGTTGTTTTCTTTTCGCAAAATCGGTGGTATATTAGAACTTCCTCCCCCAATACTTATATATTCCTCCCCCAATACTTGTATTTACAACTTTAATCTCAGTTTTCAGCTATATGGCTCCAAAAATTAAAGTACCTGCCAACTTTGGTGTAGAACACATCAACTCTCCTGTACACGGAAATCTGCTTCTGAAGCTGAGAGATGGACAAGAGATTAAAACCAATTCCATGATCATGTCCTATAACAGTCCTGTTATTGACAAGCTCACCACCAACCTGTTCCAGGTAAAAGATTTGAGACTGTTCATTTAGTGAAATTAGCTACTTTTCAAAGCTTACAAGATTATTTGGTAAATTTGACAATTCGAATATTCGATTCTAAATCATGGTCTGGTTATGAACTGTAAAATATATTAATATCCTGTACAATTTCAGTCCACGCTAGAAATGGATGATTTCACAAAACCAGCAGTCGACTGTTTTGTTGAAGCGCTGTACTCTGGTGAAGTCGATAAACTGGAAAAAGACATCTTTGAAGAAGTTAACAAAATGGCACATGTATTCGATGTGTCTTGGTTGACTAAGAGATGTCTGAAGTTTTACAAAGCAGACGTACTGAAGTTTGAGAATAATTCGTACAAAGAAATGTTATTTGCTTGCGAGATTGCTAGCAGGGCGCATTACAATCTGAAAGACAGCAAGTATGTCAGCTGTTTTGTGAAGAATGTTACTTTCAGTGGTAACGGTAAATTTATCTTTTTACAGAGATATATGGCTGGCTTTTCTGCGCTACCCAAACGTCGGATTGACATGTCCTTAGTTATTGCTGCTAATGATCTGAACATGATCAGCAATTTTGTTATATCCTACATTTCTTCAACCTTAAAATGCAAGGGATTGGATGATAATTCTCTGTACATGTTACAAAAGCTGGATATCCAGAAGTTCAGCTGTACATTTTCTTCTGAATTAAATGAATTTACAGACTTCCTGGCCGCCATTACCGAAGATTCTGAATGTGCTGAAATGAAAGCGGTTGTAGAGAAGTTTGTTAAAGGGAGAGATACTGAAGAGTCAAGTAGCTCTAAAGAAGAGCTAGAAGTTGATGAAAGTAGTGAAGATGTACAAGACAGTGATGGTGAGGATTGTAAAGATGTTGCTAATCAAACTGACGAAATAGAGTCAGGTAAATGATATAATTATATGTAACAGGGGGTCGTTCACATATTACGTAATCAATTTTTATGCAATTTTTACCCGCCCCCCCCCCCCCCCCCCCCCCTCCGTAATCAGTTTTACACATAGCTATTGTGTCAAAATTACTCTAGCGTAATCGTTAATTGGAAACTACTAGTAGTATGGGGGGTCCAAGGGGAACTTTGGGAAAGTCCCCCAAGATTTCTGAAGTTCCCCAAAAAAAAGTTCCCCAAAACTCCCCAAAGTTCCCCAAAATTCCCCAAAATTATTCAAAATTATTCAAAATTATTCAAAATTATTCAAAATTATTCAAAATTATTCAAAATTTCTCTAATATACATTAATACCCATTAATGTTAACATGTATGTTATTATAAGGTATAATCTTAACTTACTTGTTGATACTTGCAGCAAGTTTTTTGGGGAACTTTGGGGAACTTTGGGGAATTTTGGGGAACTTTCTGAAGTTCCCCAAAAAAAATTCCCCAAAATTCCCCAAAATTATTTGTTTCATTGATAATTTTTTGGGGAACTTTGGGAAAGTCCCCCAGGTTTCCTGAAGTTCCCTAAAAAAAAGTTCCCCAAAACTCCCCAAAGTTCCCCTTGGACCCCCCCCCCCCCCCCCTAGTATGTAAAAGTTACGTAGTAACTACTAGTATTGACACGTTATTAACAGGTATCAATCAAGTGTTCCGTATATAATATTTAATATATTTCTAGGTTGGATACAGTGTGTTAGTAACACAAGTTACACCCTGTCACACTACGAACCAGTACAGATGATAACTAACCCTACACAGTTAGAGAACCAGATACGTGTGTTTTATACTCTATCTGGAGAAGGTGGGAGTAGTGACGATAGAATTCTGATTTATAGAGATGCTAAAACCAATCAGTGGAGTTATTATATTGGAGGATGTACTGCACTCCGTGTCAATAAACAGTTTCTAAACAATGTACCAGCTGATAAATTCAAACACTGGATAATAACCAAAACTTCCACACACCTAAAGGTAGTGTGTAACAGAGTGACAGTTCTCAATTTCAACTTTGCTACTGACTACACACCAGGTTCTGAGAATAGTCACCAGGTTTGGTTGAAAAGGTGCACGAATATACGACTTGTTAATGGTCATGATAACTTACTTGTTTTAAATACAGGCGGTTAATTTCTGTGTATTAGTAATACCAATCTGACATCTAAACTCTCATTATTACAGTGAATATTCTTTCAGATTAATTATAGCATTATTGTATCCAACAACTGAGCAGCGTATACTTATTATTACACATAATTTAGTTAGGAACTCATTAACCTTCTTATAAAATTCAGTATTAAATTAATAGGCTCCGGCTGTGCTTGTATTAAACAATATATATACATCATTAATATCGTATTTTAAATACTCTTAATATAAAACTGTATCCAACCTTATAACTGGCTTGTTCTAAAACTTTAATATTTTCATTTAACGTAAACAATTATCTTTCTTTATTTACGTTTTACTGATTAACTTACTATTAATTAAGGAACTGGCACCCATTCTGTTTTTATAGTTTTAGATAGTTATTATATTACTCAGTGCACTAACAGGATAGAGTATTTGAGGAGTGAACCTGTTTGTACCATCAGAGAAACATGTGTTGTTGAGTGAGACTCTGTCTAAGAGTGGTGAACATGAGGTGTCTCTTAAGATTAACAGTAGACACAGGGAGAATGTAAGAGTGGTAATTATACCCTGATTACTGAGATCATCTTATCATGCTCTTTTCTGAGGAGTGTTATTGTTTGTAGTTTTATATTGTGGTAACAGCTGCTCAGTTCCAGTGACATTATTAAAACGCTTCATGTCCTTTTAGAACATTATATTATAGAGATTGGTTTTGATTTAGTACCAACTTTGATCTTATTTAGATACTGTGATATGTAAGTTAAATTGTGGAGCAAATTAATTTATTGACCATTTTATATTTTCTTGTTTGAATGTTAAGTTTTGCTTACTCGACCTCCTTGTATTGATACAGAAACACATAAGAAATTTTTCCTTGCGCCCTTTATTTAAAAATAAAAAAAAAAAGATCAATAAAAACCCCAATTTACCTCCCATTTGCCGCATGATTCTCGTTCACCATTTGACGAAATTTAAAAGGTTCCAAATTTTGAGATCCCAAGAATCGATATAATTGATGGTATTTGCTTGATATATTTCCTTTCTAAAGAAGTTTCGTATATAGCAGCGACGAATGCTCTGCAAATTTGGTTAAGTTCTGCATCTTAATGCTGAGTGTTTTATACAGTAAAATCTCGATTACCCGGGCTCGATTTTTTCGATCGATATTATTCCGTCTTCCAAACACACGCTTCCTGATAGGCCGTTATTTGCGGGTGTACTTTATTCTAGAAAGGGAAACTTAAACTTATAGAACATTTCGGTTACAACTTGGAACAGTTTTCGAAATAGAGAAACAAAAACTTTACACTCTTGCTTAAAATTGAGCTTGCAAATTTCTCTCCTAACTTTCTTTTAATTTCGTTGGTATTTATCGAACGAATGTTCTATGAGATTGACAGTTTACAGTGTTGTTTTTTATCCTTAGGCGTTAAAAATCGAAAAATTATACTTTTCAGCGCTAAATTTATCATTTTGTCACACATGTAATTCAATGCTCAAGTCTACAATCCTTTAAAAGTTCTTCCTTAATCATGAAATCGGGTTTAAACAATTTGATGAAATTACAACTCAGCTCGATGGCATTTAAATTATACATAAACATCATCCATATTTCTGATTGAACGGACAAGATTAATTAAAAATTTCATTAAGTTTAGCGATTTAACAACTGATTGCAGAGCAGCAGCAACTTCGCGAGTCGAGGGCGGGGTCGTGGTGCCCTCGCGGAGGTCGTGGTGGTTACGGTCAGAAACGACCTAGCTGAAATCCTTCGACTACGAAGGACAATGGTTCGGAGGTGGGTTACACCAGAAAGAGGAGATAATGGACGATGTGTCGATCCTAGTGTGAGAGAGGATCTGGTGGGAGTGTCATTGGGAAGGGTGGAGCTCACATTCAGGATGATAAAGGAGGAAGCTAAAGCAGCAGGACTTGAACCATGGTGTCAATCTACGCTCAGGGGTCAAATGGCGCGCCCCCCTGATGGAAGGTGCTGTGGGACAGAGTCATGAGAGTTGCAGTCCACCGGGGACGGATTAGACATGGCGCTCCAAAACTCCATGCCATCAGTGCAAATCCACAAACCACAAATCTTTCAGAAGGGTGGTGCGGAGGGGTTGGAGCACCGGGTCAGAAGAGTCAGAAGTTTAGAACTCCGTCTACTGTGCCAGCTCATGTTGCAGTGGTATCATCGGTAAAGGTGCTCTGTTTATTAAGCGAATCAAAGAAGAGACTAACTCCTACATCCAGGTTTACCTTTCCCATGCCGGGCTTCAGAGGAACATTGCGTCAGATTACAAATGAAGCTCCAGACCTGATTGCGACCGCTGTCAAAGTGTTTGAATCAATCGCAGATTAAAAAGGAAAGAACCCGATAATCATGTACAATCCATTATATATGAGCATGGAGAATACGGTGATACCGGTAGTATATTGACACCGAGTGGTATCAGGAAGCACTACGATCAGGGGTTGCTAAACCCACTCCATTCCAAACAGATACGAGGATCATCAAGAGCCGCCCACACTGCTTCCTGTGCCCCACATGCTGCTTAAACTGGATTGAGGAGGAGTATGGAGTATGGGCTATGAGCCTGAAGGGTACGGTTTTGGGTACGATGAAGGTTACGGTTACGCTGAAGAGGAGTACGTTATGAAAGTAACGCATACGATCCCCAGCAACCGCGCCAAGAGCCCGAGCACGTGGTGCCCCGAGACCGCTCTCTCGAGCTGCTCTCCTCCAGAGGTTACGGAGCCCTCATCAGCCCCAGAGGTTATCTCCTCGTGGTTAGAGGTGCCCCAGAGGAGCTGCCCCCAGGGGTCTCTAGGAGGTTACTCAAGAGGAGCACCACGAGCACGTGGAGCTCCGCGGTAGTAGGAGGTCCTCCTCCAGCTGCTCCTACGCCTGAGGAGGCCGTTCGAATAGAACTTGCTTATATTGATTTTAAACATCATGATCATCTTGACAGAAAGCCATTTATTTTCCCCTACAAGTTGTTTTCTATTGTGAGCGGACTATTAAAACAATTCATTCTTCATACGAAGATGACGTATATATACTTCTAACTGGATGACTCCGGGGGGGATCATACACTTCTTACAGGACATGGACGTTGGTGGGTGGGTCATTTTTCATTCAAACACCCCTGTAGTACATGGTACTAACTGGTGGGTCTACTGCCCATTTTCAGGAAAAACAGTTAGTACATCGTGTACTAAAGGGGGAGTCTAACCCAAAAAAACCCATTTTACCTCTAATTTCAAGTAAGGGAATGGGTTTTGAGTTTTGTAGTTTTTTTTTGGGTTTTTTTTTAATTTTTAAAATTTTTTTAAAAAGTCTTCCTTTAAGTTTAAATGAGTCTTAAAAAAGCAATTTCTGGGTGGGTCTCTTATCTCTATACCAAAAACAGTTAGTACCACGATTTTTCGCCAGTTTGTTGTACGCCAAAAGGCGCAAAAGGGGTGGGTGTCTTACGTATTATCCAAAAAAACAGTTTGTACCGCAACGGGGGTGGGGGGGTCTCGTGAAAAATATCCAAAACTAACTTAGTCGACGTGATGTCCGGCACTTGGTACCTGATCCCCCCCCGATGACTCGAATCTCAAATTTGTAAGGAGCTCCGGAAAATTGGTTTATCGGGACGTGCTAAGAGTGCGTTTGTTGGCCCAAAGCTCTCTAACTCTCTTTACATGTTAATTTATATTCTGATATAATATTCATTTTTAATCCTTCTATATCATTTTCATTATGTGTGGTGTTGGTTATTTTGGTCACCCAGGCCCTGTGCAAACAAATCGTGTAGTAATACGAGATATTACGGCAAAAAAATTTTTATAAAACGTAATTATGAAGGTAACTTCCAAAAAATAATAGGCTCAAACATTTACTGACTTAAACCTCAATATTTAGGGCTGCTCCTTCATGGTGAAGCACCATCAGAGGTCGGGGACGAGGTTGACTCCGCGGTGGTTTTGCACAGGAGCGCTCTGTGGAGTACGATGGATTATAGCTCTGGGGTGTACCGCAAGAAGAGACAGATAATGGATGATGTGTACAGGTTCCTATTAAGGAGGACTGGTTTCGATCAGTGATAGGGAAGGGGGAGAACACAGATTAAAATTATCACGGATGAAGCGAAGGAGCACGGTATTGAAACTAAAGTGTCTATCCTACGCTCAAGGAGGCAAACGGGACGCCTTTAATGGAAGGATCAGTGGACGGGTGCTGGGTGAACAGTCTACGGTTGAGGGATTGGTATGCGCTGGTCATCTTTTACCATCAGTTGGATTCATAAAATCTTCAGAACTGGTACACGGGGCGGGTGGGTCGTTCGGAAGGGGAACGTCAGAAACTAGAGCTGAGAATGTTTTAGCGTGCCATCTCACTGCTTTAGTGGGATTATAGGGAAGGAGGGTCTGTTATCAGGAGGATTTAAGGAGGAGACTACATCTTCATTCAGGTTTACACACTTCCTCTACCACTTTCAGCGGAGTTTTGTGTCAGAATTCAAAACTTTGAAGGCCCGACTTGGTTAATACGGCCGTTAAATTTTTGAATCGATCGTGATACAAAGGAATAGAATCCAATAATCATTGTAATGACCCCATATTCTTCAACCACGGTGGTACGGAGACACAGGAGCTACATCGACACAGAGTGGTATCAGAACGTTTGAGATCGGGAGCAGCACAGCCTACACCCTACAAGGCCATCAGCTCTCAAACTCAAAGCCGATACCCAGCACAACCAGCTTACGAAGTGGCACGTATTATGGGTACGAGGAGTTCGTGCTGTGTACGGGGGTCTGCGAGGGCTATGGGTACGACTGTGGAGATCCTTATTATTACGACTATTACGAGTACCCTCCCCCGGTACACGTGGCAGGAGCCCGCGCACCCCCACGAGGAGGGCCTATCTTAGCGGATCTTGTCTAGGGGCTTCAGAGGTCGGCCTAGTTTTGAGGGCCGGGGATTGAACGACGGGGAGAGAGAGCTCTGTTAAAATAGAATTATGGACTTCACCGAATCTGGAGCGGATACTGCTGGACAGTCTGCTCAAATTTGAAATCATTTTACTATCATTAAAAATTACAATATTTTGCTTCGAAATGTTTTCATTATATTATTATTCCGGGTTTGGTCGATCTGTAAATTTTTGGCTCTTGGGATGTTATCAGACAGTTGAGAAAGTGTACTTTTAACGCAACCTTAGGAGCCCGTAACTACAGTTCGATTAAAAAGTCAAGTTTTGCATTTTAACGAATCTCTAAGCGTCTTCAATCGAAAAACTAATTTAAATCAGTCAAGGCTCGATTTTGACGCTATAAGTATAAATTTCTTCATCAGAGGTTCCAACGGCAGTGTAGTACATCATATAAAAAATAGTGTAGTACGTGTATATATATTCACATTTCAAGCTTTCCCAAATTTGCCGTAAGATTCCGTTTATCGGGGTTTCCGGGGTGTTCTCTGGGATTGTATCTGTTTTTAAAAGAATAATCCTATATCGAGATGGAAAAAAAATAAAATAAAATTCGTCTAAAAAACTTTTTTCATGACCAATGGTAAGTTTTTAGAGGCGGCTTGAAAGTCTACTTGTTCGATCACCCCTTGTGTCGGTTTCTAGAATTAGATATAATTTCCATGCCCCTTTCAGGAATTCTGAAATTATCGTGCGCGCAAAAATATTGGTGTTTAACAATGTACCAGATTGCGATGAAAGTTTGAAACAAATTTTAAGTTCATACAATTTCATTGGGACAGGTATTAATAATTTATTGTTTTGTGATATAGTTTCATTGATTACAAGTGAA